TGTTTTCATTATAAGACCAAACTTGACACTTTGATTTTCCTGTTTGTTTCAACAAAAAAACTGCTATCCGAGCCTATCATCCATTCTGTCACATTAGCATTGAGTAAATTAGATGCCGTGTTGTTGCGGCAAGATAATTTATTACAACGTTTTGCATACCTTGGAGTCCACTGGGTCGAAAACAACCTTTTACCTATTATATTTCTGCCGCATTGGAACAGTGCACCCATTATTGTGTTTCGGTTTAAACAGCAAGATGACGTTGTGACTAGGATTAAAAAAGGATGCTTAGACTTAGAGTGTGACATTGTATACGCGGACTTGTTCTTTTGATTTTAGCTTTTTTGATGCTAGCTTGTTTGTTAATCCATATAAGGCAAAATATGTGTAGGATGACTACTCTCAAAATTATTTTATTAAAGGAATATTTCCCAGTAACGACTTTACGTTATAAATTATAAAAATACGAGCCTTTCATAATGACTAAAGTGGGGTCTTCGCTCGACTATGTAGCCACCAAGATCGTTGCTATCCACACTCGCTCGCGCTCTCAGAGTTATTGTGGTGCCGGTGATGGTTTTTGCACTTTTATTATCGCTCCTCTTCTTCCTCCTTCTACGAGGCTAGGGGAGTTTTTTGGCACGAAGCGTTGATTGGGGCGATAAATGTGGTTATGGACCATGGGTTCGTCGCCAGTTTTACATTAAAGGTCTTTGTGTAGACAGTGTGCGTTGGTTGCGGAGTTTCATCCTGTGGCTATGTTGCCCGCAGTTCGCGCATTTTGGTGGTTCGCCAGTGTCAACAATAAGAGGAGTGGTGGGATTTTTATCACATGTGACATTGTGCCGGTCCCTTTTGTGCCCTCCTAGTTAAATTTATATATCAGGCATTAATAGCAACTCCTAGATGTCATTCCTTTGCTGCGTGATCCCAGTGGTTTTTTTGAACTGCTCGAAGTAAACATAGCCCCTCATGTTCTGCCGAGCATTAATCTGGTGGATATACTTCTTAATCTTTTTAGTGTGGGTCCTCTTCGGAAGTTCACAGATTGCCACTTTGATGCTTTGATGATGTTTTTGGTGGTGTCCAGCTTATTCAAATACTTTTTTAGGTTGTATTCTTCTTTGCAGTTCGGAGTAAGCCGTATATCATTTCCATGGGGCCGAGTGCTCGATCATCTTCCCATACCTGAGCTCTGGGCCTAAAATTTGCCGGAAAATGGGGCAACTGTTTGACGATAAGGGGTAGGAATCTCGACTTCTTACGTGTTGTCACGATGTGTGTAGTCTCAGAATTCTTCGTCTCCTTGGCGTCTTCCCTCGGCGGCGAAGCGTGATCATGGGCACTGGCATAACTCACCGACGCAACGGTTCCAATGAGGCCGCATGCTTACTTGGGGAAGCGGACGTCGTAGATATTTCCATCGGCGCTAGCACATGATGTGCCCGTGGATTGTGCGAGTCTCCTGTTTGGATCCCTTGCTACCCATGCCGGGCGTGGTGCTTCTTTTTCTGGACTGCCTTGTAAGATAGAAATAACTAAACTTTTTTATTCAATATAATCTATATTGAAAAACGTTTCTATTATAATAAGTATCTATAATAATATAAATATATAAATAATACTTATTAAAATCATTCTCATTTTTATGATTTAGATAAACACTTATACTAATGTAAATTAAACATAAAATGATATAATTATAAAAATCTTTTTTATGTTTAATTTACCACTGGTTCGGAAATTATCTCTTTCCTGGAAACAACCAGCGGGACATAAAATAAAAAAGAACTGCTTAATATTTACGTTACACAATTAAGTACACAAAACAAATTAGAAATACCTTATTCATACAACACTTCACAAGTCCACTGCTGATCATAGGCTTCCCCCAAGGAATGCCACAAAGTACGGTCTTGAGTCACCTGCATCTGTCGACTTCCTGCATGTCTTACCAGGTCGTCACTCCACCCTGTGGGGGGAGGGGAGACGGGTAGCGGTAGGCGAAGTGTACCTTTTTTCCCCATTGGTTGTCGGTTCTTCAACTTACTAATCGTTGGGCTATGTCGGTCACTCTAGTTCTATTGCCGATATCCTCATTTCTAAGTTGATGACGCAGAGAAACCCCGAGCATATCCCCTCCATAGCACGTCGAGGGACCTTGAGCTTCCTTATACAGCCAGCAACCAAGAAATAGGTTGTTAGCGATCATTCCTAGGGGGTTATTATCACCTATAAATGCCTTACTATTATAATAAAACTTTTTATACAATATTTGTTTAAAAAGTTTTTGAACATGGCGTAGGATAAATTTTGTATATTTTCTGGGATTTTGTTGTAAAAGCGTTTATGGTCCATCGCCTCAACAATGAATTACTGACTCCGTGAAGTCAAGCAACTGGTAGTATTTGCTTGTGCTTGTGCTTGTGTGTTATACTACTTTTTTTAAACTACTTAAATATTTTGTGTACATACGTTACATTTTCGCAGATGCATTGGGAGGCCAGAGTTAATATAAATTTCCTTAAATTTATATTATTAATAATTTATGTAAATCATAGATTGTTGTTACAGGCTCTCTTCTGCAAAACAATTCTTCTGCCAAATTATGCCATGGAAATAGCTAACATAAGCTAGTCTAGCTGTTTCAACGCTGGTAAGATTTGTGATCTTTTTACTGCAGAACTAAGTTTGCTTGCTTGTCACGGGGGACTATGGGTGCTGTAAAGCATCTAAAACGTCGGGAATTAAAAAGTAAAAATTAAACGCGATAAATTTCGTAATATTTTTTAATTTTGGTTATTGCGATAATATGGAATATAAATTCCGAAAAATTGCTTATCAAGTCCTAAATGTAACAAAATTGTTTGTTGATTTTGTACGTGGTAGAGCCATGCTGCAGCTATATTAATAGTATAGTTGTAGCATGAATGGGTCGGCTCGACCGGGGAAGGACCACGCTCTGACAGAATACCAGCGTAAAATAGCAGTTTAACACTGCTGTTTCGTATGGTGAGTGTAAAGAACCGGCGACCCTTTTTACTGGAAATGAGGCATTCCATCTTAGTCACGGCTGATAACGCATCTGCATTTTAATTCGAAAACGAAGATAGATGTAGATGTCTATGGGCCACAGCAACCACTTACTATCAGGTGGACTGTGTGCTAGTTTGTCACCCTATCCTATAAAAAGTATTTTTTAAATTACAAAGTAAGCTAAAAGAAAATGAAATAGGCACTAATAACACTTAAATAAGACTGGAGAGATTTAGATATTAATAAATGTACACGAATAAATTTGATAATCGTGATTTATCTAGGAACCGGTAAAAGAAAAACAATGTCGAAAAATCAATTTAAATTTAAAACTACATGTAAAACAATAACATAGTCATTGAATAAAACTGCCTTTACGGATTTTATAACATTTAATACTACTTATTTTTTAATTCCGACCTTTAGGTAGTTTTATTGAATGTGTAGTGTTCGCGTAGATATAAGAAATCATTAAATATCCTAGTCAATTTAATTTAACACACTAATATCTGAAGCGCCTGTATGTGTTTATTAAAACAAACACATACACATCTGGTTTTATAATAAAAGGTGCGTAGATGGGGCCGCCCTACCGTCTATCGAATATTAAATAAAACTGTCAATGATACCTAATACTATACCAGTACAGAGTTATTTGCTTTTTTTTCAAGATAACATTCACTTAAAAACCTATCTATACACGTACGAGATTAATTGTTGCCTGATGTAATAAGAACTTAGTAGATGATCTACGTTTTTAGCTTCTTTGTATACAAACTGCTAATCTATATCTTTACATGTACACATATAATGTTTAAAATGTGAACATGAAAATCATAAGTCGCCATTTTCAGCCTATCTAACTAGCTAGCTGTTAGCTAGTTAGATAGGCAATAAGACTGTGATATAAATATTACAATTATTGGTTTATTAGTTGGAACGAAACTTGTGGAACGCTCTACGTTGTCTGTAATCGTCGTCAACGAAACGAGTCATTGAACGTGGGGCGGGCGGCGCGCATGCGCCTGTTAAGCTTTGAATGTCCGTGTTGCAAGGCTCAAGTAAGTTGTACAAACAGAGTAGTATTTAGCTTTTGTTTTTCAAATACAAAATCGTCTTGGAATTGCAAGTGATTCGCAAATAAAACTCAAATAATGAATTTTAAAAACTTAATATTACAAACTAGAAATTACTTATATGTCTGCAAAAAATGTGTAGGTACTTTAAATTGTATTTAAGTTTAAATAAAAAGAAACAAAAATTTAAGAGTTTTCCTATTAATATCTATATATTTTTCCTCTTTTTAATTTGCTTATACTATGCTTTATGCCAGCTATGTAGTTAAATGCAGCTACCTTTTCGATCTACTCTTTAATGCATTCTAAATACATACTTAAGTGATTTCGTTGGTGATTGCAAACTGTTTTATGTATTAATAAGTAAATAAATAAACAGTTTTATGGGCTACAAAAATTGGTCAATTATAAATATTTTAAATGAATTGTTATTTCAATAATTTAAAGTTTCTCAATGTTATAACAACATTAATTAGGCACAAAAAGAAATATACAAAGGTTTAGAATTAGGACTAGGTATAGATTGATTTCTAGAATGATAACGCAAATCGATTGTTAAAAAGGTTTTGGATAGTGGTGTATGTCATATAACCTGAGCCTTAATTATTAAGAATACTCATGAAAATAACAAATAGTGCTTATATGTAAAGTAAATATTATAACCTACCTAAATTAAATTGTAGAAATAGAAATTTGCACTTGCAACCTAAAACATTGACGGAGTTTGTCTAGTCGACTTGACTACTGTCACAGCATTGTGCGTCAGTATGCGAAGGTCTTGTGTTGTGACGCGGCGTCATTGTGATGCCGCGGCCCTGGTGACCGAATAGCGTGCTCGGTAGTGTTGTCTTTGTCGAAGTTCATTCATGCTAGTGCAGTGCCGGCACAATGCGTTGGCGCGCGCGCGCGGCTACTTCCCGCGCTAAAGAGCGCGCCAACATCAGCTTCTTTATCTTTGTCATGTTCTTTGCGGTGTTCGGTGTTATTGTCTTAACTGAGTTGCTTCTACTTGAACGTCCTAATGCCCCTGGATCGACACGATCCAGATACAATGAGGAATTACAGGTGAAGTTTTTTAGATGTCCGTTTTATTTTTATTCCAAAAAGAAAACAAAAACATGGTACATAAACATAACAGACTAATAGAAATTTATGTGTCGTCTCTTGTATATAAAGAATAAAATAAGTTTCGTCTGCTATTTAGTGTTATTTGACACAATGTATAATAAATTTTTATCTATATCAAAAAACATCGAATCGTTTTTAACTTTTAATTACTTTTTAAAATATGTCTATGGTTTTTTGTATAGGCATCTCTGAGGACTAAGATGAAATGTCTTCAAATCTATAATTTCATCGACTTTCTACCGTACCATAAAGATAAGAACACGGCAGTTCACTGCTGCTTGCAGGCAGAAATAGCTTATGCTTAACGGTAAGAGTGTGGTATGTACCTAACCAGATGTTCTCCTAGGTTGAAAGGAGTTCCACCACCAAGATTTGTTTAAAGTTATTGTAAAAAAGTACCTGCATCTCTGTAAGATATTGTGATTTTTTAATAAAGACAGGAAAAGTGGAGTCCTAATTAGTTTTAATTTTTTTAGTATTTATCTAAACATATCTAATTAAAATTGAAGTGTCTATCTGTAATTTTAAAATAACTGGCTTTTATTAAGCGCAGGGATTTTTAGCATGTCATGAAAGTTTACAAACAGATAGAGAGCAATATCAGGAGGTACCCGAAAATTTTCTGAAAAACTTTTTTTTTGAACAAACAATAAAATAAGAAAATAAATGGTCTTTGATTATCTTAAATCTAAACAATGCCATCAAATTTTAAATTCTAAACAAATTAAGGCGGAGCTGGGGTGGGACTTTTTTAAATCAATATGCCGAGGAAGGTTTGAAGTGATAAAGTATTAAAAGTACAATGTGATCTCTGCTTTTATAAAACGTAAACACCTGGCCACGGAGCTTCAACACGTCAAGCCAGCTTTGCACGAGAACAAGCTTAATTTTGAATGAGTCTCTCATATATAAGACAAACGAAAAGACTTATAAACATTGCGTAAAATACATGTAGTTGACCTAAAACATCAATGACCAGAAAGAAACAGTCTGCAATCATATACTAAACAAACGGTCCTAGCCATTAATATGATAGACTACAGATCCTCGTGAAAGAACGTCGATTCCTACCAAGGATGACTTGTGAGGCTACTAAAAATAAAAATATCGCTATTTTATTTTATTTCTAATTTAAAGAATTCGGCATTGCTTGGGATCCTGTAATTAATAAAAATAAACTATAACCCAAGCATACCCATTTTTTTGTGGAAGTTTCTTCTGCGTAGATTGAACTAAATTTAATAATTAAAAGTTGTAGGTTAAACTCCGAGTTAATAATGAAATCGGAACGTCAAACATTTCAGTAAACCGTGACATTCACATTACAAGTAAGACTTTTTTTTTAAATAGAATAGGGGTGAAAAACGAGCACACAGTCCACCTGATGTAAAGTAGGTACTGTAGCTCAAAATCAGATGCGTTGTCAGCCCTCAGGACTAATATGGAATACTCTTTTCCAGTAAAAAGGACACAAAACGTTTTATACGTGATAGAGCCATGCTGCAGCTATATTACTTGCATAGTTGTGGTACGAATGGGTCGGCTTGACCGGGGAAGGACCACGCTCTCACAGAATACCAGCGTAAAATAGCAGCTTAACGCTGCTGTGTTTTGTATGGTGAGTGTAGAGAACCGGAGACCCTTTTTACTGGAAAAGAGGCATACCATCTTAGTCCTCACTGGTGACAACGCATCTGCATTTTGATTCGCAAACGAGGATAGATGTAGATGTCTATTGGCCACAGCAACCACTTACCATCAGGTGAACTGCTCGTTTGTCACCCTATACTATAAAAAAAAAAACTCACTTAATATTTACTTTCGTGCACTTACCATACAAAACACAATAGCATTAAGCTACTATTTCACGATGGTATTCTGTGAGAGCGCGGTCCTTACCTAGTCTAGCCAATCCATTCGTGCAACAACCATAATATAGCTGGAGTGTGGTCCTACCACATATAAAATAACTTAAATAAACGCGATTAAATCCGTAAAAGTAGCTTTCTATATTTGGAGTTTTATTTTGGAATTTATCTAGAATTGTCGCATTTTCTATTTGTCGGATTATCCTACGACCTAATTTAAAGTGACAATTTTAGTCAGGTGTCTGGTCATACTCTAATATAATACAGTGAAACCTGGATAACTGGGACCTTAAGGGACCTGCAAATTCGTCTTACTTAAAGAGTTATTTCACTTACCCAGTGTCTCAGATATCCAGGTATAAATAAATATGTGTCTCATTTACAGAGGGTTCCATTAATAGCTGTGAGAATATAGGTTATTTCAGTTATTTCAGTTCAACATTATACATGAGTTGTAATCTATAGCTATTAAACAAAAATATTTTTTATAAACAATACAAAAATGCATACAGAATGTGTCAATCAAAAAAAATCTGTTATTTTAGTTTGTCTTTTGGAAGTATCAGCTGTAAGATGTTTTTCAATGTTATAAATTTAGATCGGGCATATTAGGTATTGTGAGCTGTACAATTGTCAACAAACATCAAAAATTTTCGTTTCTGGGACTTCATTACTTGATTCAAATTCTTCATCCAATCGGCAAAAATAGTAGATGTCATCCAAGCTTTTTGATTATTTTGGTGATTCACAGACAAAGTTTTAATACCTTTGACACAAACATCCGAACGATAGCAAAACCAAACTAAAAGTGGAGGTCACTTTTACCCAATTAGTCAAGTGCATATTTTACAGGTAGAATAATAATTAATAAATAAAACGGTATATAATATTCTTAGTAAAAGAGGTAAAATATACTCGCTGTCTCAATTATAGAGGTAATTATGACGAAAAAAATCGAAAGAACTAATCCCTAAAATATAGTCTCAGTAAAAAATGTAAAATACACTCGCTGTCTCAATTATAGAGGTAATTATGAAGATAAAATCGAAAGAACTACTCCTAGTTGCCGAGGTTTGTTTTGTACCACTAACAGCGATAATTCAGTGCTAAAGTGTCGGGACCTAAGCATGAGTTCCAGCTATGGAGGTTTCTCAGTTATCCAGGTCCCATTTAACCAAGTTTTACGGTATTTTAGACAAATATTTGTGTTTAAAAGTTGAAAATAGTTTTTAAGTCGAGGTTTAAGTGAATGTTACTAGTAACAAATGATATTCTGGTACTTAATGTTGATATATGATAATCTGCCTATAGATTTTTCCGATTGATAATAATCAAAGTGAAATCGCACCGCTTCCGATATTCAAAAATCTGAATAGTTGACTGTGGTCTTACTCTTATGACTTCATTCAAGTGTATGTCGCTCCGGTATTATTAGCTGATTGCCAATTAGAGGTGACAACGCATTTGTAATTGGGTATAAGAAAGGGTATTCTAATATTACGAAATTCATGAATGAATATGAGGTCTGTGAATTAGGCGCTACCCTACTGGTTCTATTATTATTTGTATAAGTAATAATTATTTATACAGATTTGTAAAATGATATGATCAAACACACTATCCTTTTAGGTGTTTTGCTTGTTCTTCCTAGTGTTTTCCAAAGCAGTGATAAATAAAAAATTACTTTCAAAAGGTAATATGTTATAATTTATAGTGAACAAAATTATTATATTATAATAAATTCTATTACCTTTTTTAAGTAAATTCTGGATTACTACGGCTGCCGTAGCCACTAACAATCAGGTGGACTGTCAGATTAATTTTCGTCTCAATGTTATTAAAAATAAAAAACGTGAGTGCCTCGTGTGGCAATTACTTTGACTATTTAGGTTTTTGAATAACTTATTAACCAGTAGCCGAAGGCGTTAGTACTATTATTTATTCTGTGCCGAAGGGAAATTGCTTTGTCCTTATATACTATATATATGATTAGATGGATAGATAAGATTTACCCAATATGATATCGTATTAACGAGATTTTATGCAAATAAATAGAAGTAAATATAGTCCGCTGTACTCGGAAATGAAATAATTTGAATGTAGCGTTTATTGTAATAGGTGTTTGCGCGGAAATGGATTCGACGCTATTACAGTCACTTTTTTTCTCACCGGTTCGTCGAGTATAAACGAGTAAAAGACGTTAATCTATTCTAAATTCAACAATATATTCATTGTCAATAACAATATATGAAAATGTAACAAATAAATTATATACATTTTAAAATAATAACGAAACAGAAATACGACGATACAACAAAATAATATATACTTACGGGGTTTTTATGTATTTACTGAAAATAGCATTGTGATATCGAAACAAGTATTTGTATGGTCTACAGATAATTATTGTTCCGCTTTTAGGGGTTTGTTTACCTGAAATTTATGTAAGTAAAACGCCTTTACGATACAGGATTTTTTTTTTAAAGAGACGGCGAAGAAAGCTGTAGCGTTAACAATAAGAACCGGCGAAGTGCGAGTCGAACTCTTGCATGCAGGGTACCGTGTCATCGTAATACACGTTTCTAGTAGGGGAACTCCTTTTAATTTTTAATTTATTTTAATTTTGATTATTTGTTGTTATAGCGGCAACAGAAATATATATTCTGTGAAAGTTTCAACTGTCTACCTATTACAGATCACGAAATACAGCCCGCTGACAGACAGACCGACGGACGGACGGACGGATGGACCGACGGACGGATAGCAGAGGCTTAGTAATAGGGTACCGTTGGATATCCTTTGGGTACGGAGCCCTAAAAACGCTAAGCTCTGCAATCGAGTTGACAAACGAATACAAAAGTAATAACGCAATCATTAGTAGTGTTTAAAGAGCTTGTTCTATAATATCACTCAGTAAGCAAACCCTATTTAAAGTTACAGCTTTATATGTCCCAAGGCTGGGCACAGCCCTGCTCTCATTTCTGAAGGAGTTTTAGGGCAAGGAAATGTTCGCCGCGCTGTTTCAATGCGTGTTGGCGCACTTAAAATATCATCGAAATATCTTATTTT